CTCGTAACGGTGCAGCACGGTTCGAATTGGTCGTGTAATGAATTCTGCACCATTCCAAGCGCACCTGGTGCCTTGAGCGGAGCGGCTTGCCGAGTCGCCCGCAGGGCCATGGCGCGCTCCGGCGGGCTGTGCGCCCTGTGTCTCACGTCCTTTGCTGTGTAAGTGCCGGTCGGTGGTTGCGCCGATGGCGCCGCTCTTCGCGCGCTCGGCCTCGACGATTCAAGGCACGTCGAGCTCCCCGGCGGCCGTCAAGGAGATGAGATGACGCTGGCCCTCCCGTGCTTTCGCCCCGCGGTCGCCCTGCCTCCACGAAGTCCCGTCGCCTCCCAGCCCTCCGCCGCCGCCACCAGTCGTCTGGCCGCACCGCGTGCGGCGTCGGTTCTATGTGCTCGGTCGGTATCCGTCCGAGTACAGGAGCCTGCGTACGACCTCGCGCGAGCTATAACTCGGCGAGCGGGGTCCACCACGGGATGGATCTCTCCGTACGCAGCTCACTCCCAACGACCAAGCGCTGGAGCCAACTTCCACGCATTCAGGCGTAGCGCTACGTATGCGAAGTCTTTGTGTCATAATGAAGATAACGCAGAACACGTTCATATATATAATGAATTCTGCACTACGAGGGCAACAACACCAAACAACACCGAGGCGCGACCGCGAGGTCTTGTCTACAGCGTGTACCAACCGTCTTCGGCAAACCAAGCTCCGTTCGAGGCGATGTGTCCTTGAGTGATGCTGGCGCAACTAAATCAGCAATTCCAGTTCTTGGATGTTTGGATCACCGAGTTTGTTAGTAGAAATACGTAGCGCATCCGTTGACAAGAAGAGGGAAGACGCCACCTATCAAAGTAATTTTGAAAGACCGAGTGGATACCCCCGCTCCACGTTGGGTACGAAACCAACGGCTCACAGCGTCTCTAAGGCGCAACTTTCTTCATTGTTGTTACGACGAGCTACTAGTTAAGTCGTGCTGAAGCGCGACGATGGCGTCCTCCATGCGTCTGCTCGCACGGGCGCTGTTGGTTTCAATCGATTGCAAAAGCAGCTCTGTCAACGTGCCATTTGCCGGCTCGATGGACGCACAGTGCAGGGAGCGCTCGGGCAGGTGCATGCGAATGCAGCTCTGCACGAACGTTGCATTCTCGCCCGTGGCTTCGACAAGAGCCCTAGTACAGGGCATGATGAAGGAGCTCAAACGATGTCAAGCGTCCGTACCAGCCTTTGACGTTTGCAATCAAGTGCGCTGCATTGAACGGGTACAACTCGTCCTCGACAATCGACCGCCACACAAAGAGCGACGAGCTACTTCCAGGGTCGATGTACCGACGAAGCGCCATCCGGGCCTCCAGCTTCGGCATCAATGGGTCCGGTAACGTCACGAGCTCGCTAGCCACATCATAATAGGTTGTCATGGTGGAAGAGTGTGTCGTACCTCAGGTAGACAAGGTTGGGATGATGCGTCTCGAGCACCTACAAGGTACCATCTTGCCGTACATCGAGAACATACTAGCAGCGTACCGAGGACGTGTCGTGGATGCCTGTGCGCATGTGATCCCATAGCGTATCTTCCATGTCGCGAAGCGGAAGTTGCACGTGCTTGGACATGAGAAAGACGACCGAGATCGATCCTTGCGTCTCGATAAACACCTTGCGCATCTCAGAGCAGCTCGACCGGACTTCGTGCAAGCCATATCGAATCCACTCGTGCTCGCGCTTGGCACACTGCGCGTCCAAGAGTTTCTCCAAGTGCACAGTGCGATGCTTGGACGACAGAATCGCTAGCTGCCAAACAGCGTCGTTAGAGAGAAAGGCCATGCTTTTTGGCTGAGCCAAAACGCGCTCGAGAGCTTCGATGACCTGGAGCTGCTCCGTCACCATGTCACGAAGCCGGAGATTTTCCTGCATTGATCGATGGGCTACCGTAGCTTGCTCGATGGCGCGGGCTTGCCACGGGCGGGCAGCGGCGGGTACGCTGGCGAGCCGTTTTTGGATTTCACCAAGCGTGTGCGATAGCTTGGCGTGCTTGGCGTGGAGGTACTCGAGCTCTTGCTTGGGTCGCTGGAACATGCGTTTGCCGCGGGTGTTGCGCGGCGGCGAGCTTGGCGACGGTGGCGGCGACGACGAGGTCGTGTCGCCAAGTCGGTAGTGGTCGCGAGAAACGCCGAGATGGTCGCGACCGAAATGTCATCGTCGGTGTTGCTCTCGAGCGCCATAGCATGTGCTTCGGGGCGCGACATCCTGGCAGCAACTTTGCTGTTGGACTGACCCACATTCTGTCGTATTTTCTGATTTGCGTCTAAAATGGGTGTTTTGCGCGCGTAGGAAGTCGAAACGACCTTTTCACGAAGGGACGTATCTTGCGAACCGTCGTAGAGCTAGCATTTTAGATCTCGACTCCTACTAAGCAACCCGCCTCACCTCACCCGAGGTCCTGGCAGTAATGAAGGCATTACGCCCATTGCCACCTGAGCAAGCTCGCCATTGTGAAATTAGTGCTTTTGAGATGACTTTTGAGTTTGAGTGGCAGGCCACCGCGTCTTTCGTGTCGTCGTCATACCAAGAAGCCGTGACAGTAACATCGTCCATGATCTCGAGGACTTGTGTGTTTGCGTGCCCTGTAGCTAAAGTTTGTTGTTGGCGCGTAGTACAGCTCGCATCGCTCTACAATACAGTGTAATCCTGCTGGTCGCGGCGTGGCATCTCGGAGGTGTGACGCTACCGACGTGCATGCAAAATACTACATTCCAGTATGTGATGACAAACTAGGCTTCGTGTTCTGCTCGTCGTTGCTGGTGATTCACGATCGCGCGATGGAGCATGCAGCCGAACCGATCGCGGTTGGCCTCGGCGGCTTGCACGAGGAGTTCGGTGAGTGTGCCGACTGCGGGCTGGATCGACTGCAGTGCTGGCGGGAAGATGGGCATGTGCAAGCGCATGCACATTTGCAAGCTGGACTCGCTGCTGTCGTCGTCGTCTGCGTGAAGCACCGACCTAGATCAGATCTTAGTTTCTACTATTCGACACAAAATTGTACCAGCCCTCGCGCTTGCAAATCAAATGGCCGTCTTTGTGGGGATGGAGCTTGTCTTCAATGATCGAGCGCCACACGGTCACAACACGGTCCTTCTCGACGTAGCGACGCATCGCAATGTGGGCTTCGAGCACCGGCATGGACGGGTCGGGCAGAATAATGTCTTCGCTACAATACGCAATATATGTATAAAACCCAGGACAAACATGTACTAACCGAATGTAGACCAGATCGGGATGAAATACTTGAAGCACCTAACACACAGCATATTATCCATCATTCAAGCCGATTTTTTGGACGTACGGTGGTCGTGTCACTGACAGGATTCGACTTGTGGGTCCACACCACGTCGCTCAGTGTTTCAACGTCGAGCGGCATGGTCTTGGCACCAAGAAAGATGATGGCATCGTCGCCAGTATCGCCGCTTCCGCTTTGTACGAACGCCTTGCGCATGCGAAGGCGGCGGTCGCGCGCATCGTGGAGGCCGTACCGGATCCACTCGCTGTTGAGTTTGTCGTACTGGTGCTGCAAGAGCGCTTCCAGATCGTCCTCGCGGTTCGTGTCGCCCAAAATCGCTTGCTTCCATGCGACATCGGACGGCGGAAACGTGCCAAACTTGGGCCGCTTTGTCAGTACCTTTTCGAGCGCCTGGATGACTTGGATCTGGTCCGTGACCATCTCCTTGAGCCGCGCGTTCTCTTGCAGCGAGCGCTGCACCGACTGTGCTTGCTCAATGGCCCGGATCTTCCACGGCTGCGCGTCTTCGGAAGTCGCGAGCTGCGGTTGGAGCGACTGTAACTTTTGGACGAGCGTCTCGTGCTTGATGCGGAGGTACTCGAGCTCTTGCTTCGGGCGCTGGTACGGGCGCTTGCGCGTCGGCGACGACGACGCATCGGACGACGACGTGTGGTCGCCAAAGTCGACGGTGGGCGCTAGAAAGGCCGAGACCGCCTCGAGCGAGATGTCGCCGCCACAGCTCGCGCTGTCTTCGTAGAGGCCAAAGATCTCGTCATGGCCCGTCATCGTCGCCATTGTTCGAGACTCGACGAAGCGATTCGGCGACTGCGGTATAAAGTGCGACATTGCAGTTGACCAACACTCTTCATTCCTCCGGATACAGTATGGCGCCACCGGCGGCAAGGAGGCAAGGAAGGTGTTGGCGCCAACCCGTTGCAAAATTCAAGAATTTGGGATCGAGAAGAGCACGACTACGAGAGATAGTTCAAGACAGGTAATAGCGTCCATGGCACGTCAATTAGTGTAGGGCGACGTCCAGCAGCTTGGTGTATTGCGCTGTAGGTTGTCGTCACCAGATCGGTCGGCTACCGGTACACGCATGACGCAATCAGCAGCGTTCGCATCATCGATGCCCAATCCGTCGCATCGCGTTATCAATCGCCGTCTCAAAGTCGATTTTTCGGATACGTTGACCACGGGACTAAGAAGCAAGGGACTCTACTGATTCCTTTCGAATTACGGATCCAAAAAATAACTTTGCAAATGGAGTTTACAGTGTCGTTTATGTGCGTTGGGCCAAGAGCTGTTGGCGCCGCGCCTCGGTGGCGTCGTCCAAATCTTTGCCGAGCTGCACCTTGGTGTTTTGTGATGACGCGATCAACAGCTCGGTCCACGTTCCGGTCGTCGGCTGCTTGGACGGAATCGACGACGGAAACATCGGCGTCGCCATGGTGGCGTAGACCTGAAACGAGCACTCGGTCGGCCCCTTGTCTTCGAGTACGACCCTATGACGAGGCGCCACATGACCAAGAGACAGGAAAAGTAGATGGCCTACCAGCCAATCTGGTTGCCAACAAGATGACCTGGCTCGTGGGGCATGAGCTGGTCTTCCAAGATCGATCGCCACACAATCACGACGCGATGGGCTTCATCGTAGCGCCGCAGCGCGTAGCGCGACTCCATCATCGGCATGCTCGGGTCCAAGAGCGCCATGTCCTCCCTAATGCCATCAGAGACTGCCACGTCATGTGACGGTTTCAGATCCATACCTCGAGTAGATCAAGCGCGGATGAAAGGCTTGTAAAATCTAGTTATAGCACCCGATTTTGAGCACCGAGGCGACCAGATGCGCACTGTATTACCTGCTGCGAGGCCCCGCGCTTGCCGGTCTTGAAGTCCCAAAAGACGTCGGACATGCCTTTAAAGTCCAGCGCCCGCGTCATGCGCCCCGCGTAGTTGAGCGTCACGTAGCGTTCGTCGATCGTTTGAACAAACATCTTGTGCAACGGGCCGCCGTTCTTGTTGTCGTACATGCCAAGGCGAATCCACTCCGAATCGAGGCGCTCGTACTGGTGCTTGAGAAGCTGTTCCAAGCTGGCTTCGCGGTCCGTCACCGCCAAGATGCACTGCCGCCAGAGGTTGCTGGCAGTCTGGAACGACGACACTTTTGGACGCTTGCGGAGAACCTTCTCAAGCGCCTCGATGACCTTGAGCTGGTCGGCGACTTGGCTTTTCAAGCGCGCATTCTCTTGCAAACAGCGCTGCGTCAAGTGCGCTTGGTCCTGTGCCCGTGACCGCCACGGACTCGCGTCGCTCGAGATCAAGCTCGCGCTCTCGTCTTGGAGCACTTGGAGCTGCGCAGCCAGCTCGTCGTGCTTGGTGCGAAGGTAGAGTAGCTCGGCCTTGGGGCGGTCGACATGGCGACGCTTCCGGGATGGCGCGGGCGGTTCGTCCGACCCGGACGAGAGTGGAGACGAAGCGACGACGCCAAAGTCGGTCGTGTCGGCGAGAAACGCCGAGAGGTGCGGGACGCTGCTGTCGAGGACGACGTCGAGAATGTCGAGCTCGATCGCTTCCATGTTTCCAAGTGCCCAGACCGGCCGTGAAGCCCCAAGACGGTATGACGAGCATGGCCGCGTAGTGTCATCAAAGGAGGGGTAGGGTTCCGTCCCGTCATCGAGAATGGAGGCTATCGCGACGACACGTGAGGTCTGTGACAGCACCAGCCCTTACGAGGTGTATTTGCTGTACCGGTACCGGTATATAGGTACTAGATGAACCAACTTCTAGGAGTCTAGTCTGGAGGCGACCGAGCTTTCTATCTCAGAGGTACGTTTTCTACGCCGATTTCGATGGGTCGAGCAGAGACGCGGACGACCTGTCTGCCAT